TCTGCAGACGGGCTAACGTTAGCGCTGGCTTCTGCAGACGGGCTAACGTTACACTGGCCTCTGCAGAATAGAACGCACAAGTACACAGATTGAGAAACGGTCTTGTAGACAGACATACTCAAAAAGTACAACTTTAAACTAACTGAAACAATGTATCTAACTAATTAATACTCCTAAATTACTCACAGAGATACATTATGGTTACTGTACTAACAATTACAGTTTATTTATTATACCAAATGTAATTAGTGAGGAGTAAGAGTATCACTGCTGCCACCTTCGGGTTTAGAGGGGAACTGCTCGTTCAGCATCAAACACTAAGTTGAACATTCTTGAGGAAAATCTCAAATATCTTTAAACCTAAAGTGTGATTGTAGATAACCAGATGAGATAAATTCCAACTTCTATTACCCAGTTAAACTGTGAATAAAGGTCCTGAGAGAAAGGAGGCCGTTCGTCGGCCCTCTGGGAGGAGCGTAGAACAGACACATTATGCCAGAAACAGAAAATGGAGCTCTGATGCGTTCGCTTGGGCTGTTTTATCTGCTCTTTGTTGTGAAATATCAGCTTCCAGACTCAGACTTGTCTGATCTCAGATCATCCTGCAGCCTTATGAGGTTCCACCTCTCAGCAGATCAACCTCTTTAATCCTTCCTGGTTATTTATCTGGTACAAGAACGGATATCAAAAACATTCCTTGTTTGAGGAGTAAAAATTCATCTTGTTTCAGGTCCTGAATCCTGTTCTGAGTTCCTGCTCTGAGGAAGGAGAGGATGAGTCGGCAGCCATCTTTATCCCCCGCTGCACGGCCAGCGGCGGCTTCCAGCAGGTCCAGTGTTGGGGTTCACAGTGCTGGTGTGTCGACTCTCAGGGTCAGGAGGTTCCAGGATCTCGAACCGCCGGCCATCCATCCCGATGTCCGTCCCGCTGCGAGACGGAGCGCGCCACAGCTTTGAAGGTGAAATCCAACATGGCCGCTGGCGCTGAGATCTACATCCCAGCATGCTCAGAGGATGGAGGCTTCCTGCCGCTTCAGTGCGTCGGACCGCGCTGCTTCTGTGTGGATGCTGAGGGGAGGAGGATGGCTGCCGGTCCAGCAGGGAGCGCTGTCACCTGTAAGACAATTCAGAGGGGTTAATCTGGGTCAGATGTGAATCTCTCTGGTTTTGATCATGTCTGCTGTGTTTCAGGTCCAGAGAACCAAACACTGAAGCTGCAGCCGTCTGAAGGTGAGCTCAGAAATTTCAAACTAATTTGATTTCTGCACATTTTAGTTTGTGGAATCACTTCAACTCTGAACTATTGGGGAATATAAATAACAAATAGTCATTTATATTCTACATCAATCAATCTTTCTACAGGACTGACCCAAAGTACTGAACACATCCATAAATAAATCCGTACATACATAAAAGACAATAAAAGACATAAAAAAGACATAAATCAGTGATAAAATTCTCCTTCCTTCCTTCCTTACTTACCTTATCTTACTTACTTACCTTACTTACTTAACTTACTCACCTTACTTACTTACCTTACCTTACTTACCTTACTCACCTTACTTACTTACCTTACTCACCTTACTTACCTTACTCACCTTACCATACTTACTTACCTTATTTACCTTACTTACTTACCTTATTTACCTTACTTACTTACTTACCTTACTTACTTACCTTATTTACCTGACTTACTTACCTTATTTACCTTACTTACTTACCTTACTTACTTACCTTACTTACTTACCTTACTCACCTTACTTACCTTACTTGCCTTACTTACTTAACTTACTCACCTTACCATACTTACTTACCTTACTTACCTTACTTACTTACCTTACTTAACTTACTCACCTTACCTTACTTACTTACCTTATTTACCTGACTTACTTACATTATTTACCTTACTTACTTACCTTACTTGCCTTACTTACTTACCTTACTCACCTTACTTACTTACCTTACCTTACTTACTTACTTACTTCCTTCGAAGCCGGGCATGAACTTTGCGATATCTTCAATCATTGCACTCAGCCAGAACTCAAACTGTGTGACTCACAGTGTGAGAACCGTATGTT